ATTTGGATAAATTAAGCTCTCAAGTGTTCCTTGCTTTATGAAACTCTGCATGTTGTACACTTCAACACAAATAAATGACTTGTACCATTAGAGGTTTAAATAATGTAATGTATTTCATGCTCAGCCTGAAGCTGGATTCCGATGAAGTTGCTAATGCACGTAATGATTAAGTGTAACTCAAATACTAACTGTGTTGTTGAAAACATGACAGGCAATAATTTGGTCTATTATATTCTGCCATTTAATTGCCTAGTACAGACATTCTCTGACACATTATGAAGCAATGATTTACAATTATTCAAGCTGCAAAGGTCAGAAAGTGACATTATAATCATCTACATAGAGATCCCTTCTAATGCACAAAAACTAGGTAATGCCACACACACACACAGAGTTTCACTGCATTAGTAACTTTCTATTTAAGGTTTCTCAAACCGAGTAAGAATAAACAGCTCATAAGCACATTAATACACAACAGAAAATGTCTAGAATCTTTCCATGAACCTGGAGGTGACGGACTTGAAAAAAATGCCCTTATTCTCTCCCAATTAGGTAAGTTCCACTCAACTACTTAACTCCACACACAATACTCAAGACCAGACACAGGGAAGTCAATCAGAAAGAGAACACGATCCCCAGAGCAGGCATCCCGGCATCTCTGTGAAGAGAGGCCTGCAGCACTCAGCCAGCACCGCCCAGGCTTCCGCAGATCACAGGCAACTTACTAGTTTGCTACTAACTCGCTCTCTCTCTCTTTTTTTTAAGTAACTGGTTATGAAAAAAAAACACAGTAACCTAAGCTCATCAATGTTTACCCCTCTTGCCCTAATGAAGAGACAGTAATATCTTCATCTGTCTAGGCACCTAATTCTATTATACCATGTTCAATTTGTAATAACCCAAGTGCAATAAATTATAGTAATAAAATTATTTAAAACAATGCTTTAATGTGAGAAAAGTGAAACAGAGAAAAAGAGATACAAAAACAGACTGAATACGACAATGTTAAAGGAAAATACCACGCAAGCAAGTTTTTAAAAGCAGAAAACAGAAGTGGCTGGGGCTCGAAGGAGGTAAGTTACAGTTATTACATTCTGATAAAAACAACCTAGAGAGAAAAAAATAAGACAAATTAAAGTAAGTAACCAAAATAACAGATATTGCAAAAAGCAGAGAATTTTTTTTTTAAGGGGGAGAGTTAAAAGGAAGGAAACAGTGGCCTACCATTACCACCGCATAATCTGAGTCCATCACTAAAAACACATCTGTACAATGGGGATAGTAAACAGGAGAGAGACAATTTCATGACACCAGGAGAGCAACAAAAAAAAGTGAAAGCTAATGAAGGTGTAGCACACTATTTATTACTGATAGTATTACATACACTGTTACACGTATGTCCACACAGAGACAGAGAGGATCAAATTTAAATAGATCTAACAAAACATGGTGTGGGTAAGCCACTGAGATTTCAAGTCATTTTTTTAGTAGCCAAAGGGAGATCACTCCTTTAATAAAAAGCTGTGTTTGATCTATTTTTAAGCATATGTTTCCAACAAAATTAACTTCTGTATCGAGATGCTTTCTGTTATTTCTTATTCTCGCCCCACCCCATGTCAGACCCATGTCAGACCCCATGTCAGACCCACAGCACATGCTCACATGAACTGCCCATTAAGTGCTCACTATACATATACCTATACTGTGTAAAATTCCTCCTGAGATCACATTCGGGTGTAAGAAAAACACTAGGAAACCGTACTCTTCAAAAACTGCTCCTCCTAAAAGTGAAAGTAAAATGAAAGGTTTTTAAAATGAAGTTACCAATAACAGGTTCTTAACACAGGAATTACAAAGCAACACACTTCCGAAATTTTTACTGCAACATGAGCACATACAACATTGGCAAACGTGAGAGAAAGCCTAAATTCTGAGCCCCAACTACCTGACAGGAATTAGACACCTAGCACCTTCAGCTGCTTTACAAACTAACTTAAATCCATGACATACTGTAGCTAGGATTTGCTGATGCAGTGGAGAGGATGAACCTTCCAGCTCCATTTTAAGATAAAAGAAAATCAGCTAAAAGAAAATCAGCGTGGGTCCCAACAATGCAGTAAAAGCTTAAATGGCAGTCTTTGTTAGGGGAGTAGCTAATACACAACTCAAACTCAGCCTCAGTAAAAGTATTTGAGGTACAGATTTGATGAGCATCTACAAACTTCTTATATAAAGACTGGAAAAACAAGTCAATTACAAGTAATCTAACCATTAATACAGGGCTCAGTTCAACAAAACATACTGTCATTTTCATCTATTTCACTATAAAATATGAGGTTTTGTTTTTTGTTTTTTTTGTTTTGTTTTTTTGTTTTTGTTTTTGTTTTTTTCAACAAAAGCAGGAGGCTACTAAGACAAGATAATACAACAGATAATACAACAGCATGAACAATAATTTCATGTTTAAAATGTGCCTGTTCCATTATTTCTATACATTATTACCTAACCAGAACTCTCTGAAGAACAGTTTATCTCTTACAACTCCGGTAACGAAAGGGATAGAGATGAAGGTCCTGACTACTGCGGGAAGAAAAACACAGTGCAAGACCTTCTGTTTGTGACAAAATTATAGAGTTAATGTCCCTGAAAGATCACGTCACCTTTTAAAGCACGATTTTTTTTAAAAGGTAAAATTTATAGCGATGAAAGCTAATGAAGAAATGCAGCATGAGCTGCTTATGCTCAGGAACTAATAGGTCCACTGAGCATTTCTGGGATTATTTAGCCATCAGTGATAATGAATTGACGTTGTCACTAATGCTAATGCACCAGTGCTCTCCACTGCCAGGAACCTGAGAGCCAATTCTCAGTTCTCACTTTCTTCCAGGCTTCTCATGTTAGCTTTTCACCTACGTATTGTCCCACCCCTTCAAAAGATATGAAACACAGATGCCCTATGATACTTTTTCTTTACCATTAAAGGGCTCTAACTCATTATTGTTCTGTTTCAACCCCAGAGACCAAAAGGCCTTCTTCGATTTACTGCAATTCTTCAGAACTTTTAGCTTCACTGCAAAAATATCTACCCTATGAAAATCTTCATTACATCACTTTTAAATCAAATTTCACTTAAAAAAATTAGGAGAACTATTATTTCAAAGTCAAGTAAAATTCAGTGACCACCATAATGCTAAAAGATACAATTTTGAAATCTAGATTGTTTTCTCTACACACACACACACACACACGCACGCGTGCGCGCGCAGAGCTCTCGGACAGCAGTATGAAACTCAATACATCTCTCTGTATTTATAATTCTTTATCTTGGGAATCAAACATGTAACCCACTGGTATAACACTTCAGTGCTGGGGGCAAGCAGTGAGCTAAGCCATGTGTGCACTATTTAAATTGGACAATCAAAGCCAATCGATCATGTATTGTTTTTGATGCCAACTATGCCAGCAACTGCTCTCGATAAAAAGTTTCTTCTTCTCCTTCCCCAGACTCAGTAACCCTAATTAAAAAAAAAAAAAAAAAAAGGACAGAAATAGATTTCTAATAATAGAGCGCGCAAGAGTTGCTTAATTATCTTGAAGAAATGAGGAAGAAACTGCTGACTGCCTCCTAACAGCAAATGTCCACTGGAGTCTGGCCCTCCTTTTTCCTATAACTCATATATGGTAAAAAAAAAAAAAAAAAACAATAAATGAGGTATCTTTTAAAATTCCAAGACCTAGAGCAATTAAAATGAACCATTTGGCACTCGACCCTTGCAGCTAAAATCAGGAGCAACAAAACTCATTCTCCCACTGATCTTCAGGGGGCTTTAGGGCAAAGGTTCATCTTCATTTACTTTAGCTGCAAGTCACTGAACCATCAATTCTGCCAATGAATAAATCTCAGACCATGGTTAATAAAACTGCTTGCAAAGTTATTCGTAAAACTATCTTAAGGGTCAAAAAAATGAAATGCACCGTCCAACAAAAGACAGAAGCTGTTTTTGACTTAAAAGATATTTACTCAGTAGTGCCAGCCACAAGAACCTTCCCCTAAAGAAGGAAACCTACCATAACACGTGCACATTTCATAATTGAATTGAACCTGCAGTATTTCGGGAATCAGCCATAAGAACTGCAGGCTTCCCAGGTTCCACACAGAGTGTTTTCATATGATGCACTTATTCGTTAATTTCTCTAGATTAATGGAATTAAAATATATTTTTAATCAGAGGTAGGGTATTAAAATCCAGCTCTGAATGTCCTATGATATACCGTAGATGTCATGGCATTTTAAAACCTTTTAAACATTTCTGCTAAATTAATTAGTTGTGCATTAAGGCATCTCAGTGCTTCCTATTAAACGCAACACATCTGAATGACAGTTTTAACACTGTGAATGGTTCTTCAGAGGAAGAGCCGTTAAGTTAAAATGGAAAACAACAACTTTTGAAATAAAGTTACACAAAAACATACATTATACACTGTTTATCTAAGCTTCACCCCTATAACAATCAGTAATCAGCTGTCCGAAATTAAATCTTTTTCTGCCTTTCTCCTTATGGAGTATGTCCAGTTTATCCAATGAGCCATTAATATGACTAAAATTAAAGCAGTATAGCAAAAGGAAAAAAAAAAAAAACCACATACATACATACATATATACTCCTAAAGCTGTATTATGTTTTTTTTTTTATGTCTTTAAATGGAATTTACAGTTCTCTCTGGCAATGTGAATGAACATCCTATAATTTAGTCAATTTACAGATTACAGGTTCAAATTGACCTTGTAGCCCATAAAATTGCTCATCTTCAGTAGAGGATTAGAAGTGGGAGAAGAATGTCATAACTGTATTTAAGGAATTTACCATAACAATGGAAAGGAGGGTACGCATGCATAATTTTAGCCACTCTTACTCATATCAGTTTTGAATTCTGAAACAATGGCTAGCCTGTACATGCTTCCTGGTTCACCGCGGTGGAGATGGTTTCCATTTACTCACCCACAGACGTGACACTTGTATTCCCTCATCCCAAGGTGCCTTTTGACATGGTTTCTGGCATCGCCAAGCTGAGCTGTTGCAAAATGGCATATCTTGCACTTGAATGGTTTTGATCCTAAGTAAATTTAACATAAAATATGATTTGAATTTGAATAATACCTTACTGATAGTTTAAAAAGAGGCCTAGATCTTAAATCACACTTTTCATCTGTTTAGAAATCTCTGGCCCCAAAATGGAATACCTGCATTCCTTTCTAACTGGAATAGACCCGCATTCCATAATAATTCCACCAAGAAGACTTCAATGTTTCAGTGAGTGTTCCTAACTTTCAATAACATTTCTAAGATTTAAAGTCAAAAGTGATACAGTTAAGCAGTACTAAGTAGGTAAGGAGAGCCAAATAATTTTAAATTTTTCTAACAATTTGTAAAAATATTCAACTTCTAAAATGGATTATAAAAACAAATGCATATGGAGTTGCTGATATTTTATAAAGTATATTTATCATCAAATAAATTTTCAGAGGCCACCTCCTCCATTCCTCATATTTCTGCAGCTTTGAATTTACTCACATTAAGAATGGCATTTCAGATTTTTTTCTGACATTTATCCCAAATGATTCACTACATTACTATTTTAATAGCACACAATGCAAGAATATATAGTGGATAAGTTATTTGCTTTTATGATCATTTTATAGTCAGAAATCTGTGATGATTCTGCAAACCAGCAGTACTGACATTTTATTTATTGATTTGAAGAACAAATATATCAATATAAGAAGCACAGTACCACAATTTTTTTTTAATTTCACAAAGATTAACCTACACTCAAATATGAGAAAACAAAATAATTTCAACAAGGACAAACCTAGTACCAGGAATAGACAGACTGTAACTGGGACACAGTTACTAACAGGTGACCCTAACCCACATTAATGAGAAGCAACTCTCCTGGAAGAACAACATGCATATACCGCTTTTCAAATTTCTAACCACTAAGTCCCTAAATAAATAAATCAAAATCATAAAAATCACAGTCTAAAAATCAGTCCAATATGTCTCCAGATCTTTCGTATCATGTTTAGTACCTATTTGGTGAAATACCTCTTCTAATATAGTTAGAATGTGATATATGTGAACTTCAATAAATATACAAAAAGAGCTCAAATAAAAAAAAATTGCAATAAATCATATTTGATCAATGAACCTTTGTGCAGTGCCCTTGAAAAAAATAATCCTCCAAGAATACTTTGTTGAAATTGAAGCACTCAGTAAAAAATTTCAGAGTCTTAAATTTCAATTTAATTCCCAAAAGCTGACAAAAAAAGTGAAGCATTTAATTTTAATCTTCTAACAGAAATAAAAAAGTCAACAGTACTAAGCACGGGCAGACAAGGTTGAATATTTCACAGTTCAATGACAATGAAGCCAGATCTCTTAATACTTCCATTTCTACTGTTAGAAGTAGATGTAAAATATATTTAGCACCTGAATGGTTATATCTAGTCAGCTTTATATGTTTAAATGTCAAAAGCAGGTTGAGAGTGCAGCTTACAGCAATCACATTCTATCAATCACATTAGAAACTACAGTTTATTTAAATGATCTGATAAAACTAAGCCTATCACTACCTGGAAACATCTCATCTCCACACAGAATTCTATAAAGGGACACAGAAAAGAGAAGAGTGAGAAGAACCAATTTACCTACACTTTAAATTGAAATGCATCCAAGGTAATAAGGCATTTAGGAAATTATTAATTAACAATAACATCAGGACTCCAACCAAAGAAAATAAAGCTCTCAACATTTGCATTACAGTTTTGGTGAAAGCCTTTCAAATCTATGGATCTAGGTTTTCGTCACGCTGCCCCTGCACTGCACTGTGAGGAGTCCCTCCTATGGGACAAAGGTGCCACAGGGGCTGGGTACAGACCTTTCAAGTTACTCTACGTGGCTCCTTAGTGGACAGCTCGCATTCCTCACTGATAGTGTGTTGACAACACATAAATGAGTTATTCTGTTGACTGCTTTCGTGCAGAAATCACGGAGCTCCTGACTATTTTTCACATCTTATATTAGAAGAGACCGTGTTAACATCTTTCTGTGTCAGAAAAATTCCAGGGAAGTGGAGATAATACTTTTCTGCCCAAGGAAAAAGAAAGATCCTCTTTTTTCTATTCATGTTCCCAGTTTAAAGTCTGCAAGGCACATCCCAAAATGAATCCAGGCATACTGTTTATAAGGCGAAAATTCTAAAGCCACATATTTCTAAATTTTTCTTGCAAGGGTTATCATGATTATTATAAACTGTCAATACGATTTTGAATAGTTCCATTCCTAGGAACAGCATTATCCTCAGTAGGTTTTCTTCTTTTAATCTGGCCCCTGAGGTTTTCTGAAAGGGAAAAAAGAAAAGAGACTCTCCAGCTTTCTGGCATCTTACAATTTTACCAAAAGAATTCCCAAGATTTTTAAAACCAAATCTTCACCAAGACCTACAACAGCCATTCATCACCATCACTCACAGTTAACTGCTATGCATACATGGATGTGGGATGAACATTTAAAAAATGATACTCAAACTTCACATCTTAAAGAATGTCTGGAACCCATCATCTACTGCTGCTCCACAAAGCCTCAAGGCTACTTACAGCCCGCCCCCCAAACACTCAACACTTGGCTCCATCCTTCACTCCTTCCTTCACTGCGCCTGGGCCGCAGAGACGAAGAGGGAACAGAGCGCAGCCCAGCCTCTCGCTAGGCTTGGAGTCAACGCACCAACTGTCCTCACCATCTCTTCACAAGCGGATTCAGCTTTTAAACTGTCAGATACACAGGAAGCCAAACACTACCCGCCCTCACGTGAGACCTTCTCAGTGAAATCACACAACTCCCTATCTCCTTGTGTCTGAACATTTCCAAACAGCACAAGTGACCGCGTGTGCTCAGAGCATCAAATGAAGGGCTTCCGACAGTCTTATTTAATGACATCTGCCAGCCACGTCCTAAGAAAGGAAAGCTCTACCCAACAGAATAACGCCAGAGAGAAAGTGAATAGCTGTTACTGCCCTCCTAATGTAAGGGGAAAGGCAACACGGCCCTTTCTGGTCATGCTGATGACTTCACACAAGCAAAGGCACAGAAACTCTGGGGTGCTTTTTTCCTACAATTCTTAATAACCAAAACTCATTTATTTCTTAAAATGCTGTTTTTATTGTGCTAAGGATGGGAAGAAAAGGTGACATAAAATAGAGAGTAAATCACAAAATATGAAAACAGGGATTGGAAGAGTAAGTCCTTTTCCAGTTAATCATTAATAACGGTCCCTGCATTACTACTCACAGGCATAACCAAATTATCAGAAAAGCAATTCATTTTAAGATGCCCCAAGGAAGGGAAAAAAAAAAAAAAAAAAACCCTTGGGTTAAAACCAAGAGAGCAACATCCCCCAGAAAGTGGCTTACAAAACTGCAATGGTAGATTGGCCTTGTGTCCTGAGGAGCGGGGCTCTTTGTGGTGCTTTGGGACACAATAAAAATGTACTTGCTGATAAGCCCAACAGAAGATGTTAAAAAGTATGCTAACTTTTACTAAATGTTACAATCAATGATGTAACTTATATAAGTAGGGTTACTTTGTCACATATTGATAGTTACCTCACTTTCACATCCACATTAACTTGATTTTAAATGCAATTAATACATATAGTCAAGGAAGACTAATGGACTACATTCCGCACTTAACCTAGTGGACGTTTTCAAATGGCACAAGTGACCAGTGCAAACCTATTTTGCATTGTAAACGACTAAATAAATCTTAATGGATTAAGAATGATCAGCTATCAACACACAAGGGAAATTAAGTGCTGAAATGCCTACATTGATTATTTTAAATTATTAGCCTTACTCTGTTCTTGAATTTGTATGCTTTTAGTGAGCTTTAACACATTTACAAGACTTATTGACTATAATTACAAGAGAATTCAAGTAATGGACACATCAATTATAAGCAACATGTCTTGACCAGACAGTTGCATAAAGAATTCTAAAAAGAGGTCCATTAGCATCTTCCTCTTAGTTTTATTCAGTTTTTATCTGCCTTTAGAGGGCATATTAAGAAAGTACATGCCTTCTACACACGTGAACAAGCCTGATTTCTAAAAGCCAGAAAACTCCCTAAAGTGAGCAACACAGTAACGAAAGAGGTATTAATAATGCCAAGAGATCCGTATTCGGATTTATTTCCCAACAATAGCTCCACTGTTTGAAGAGTTGGGGCCAAGAGTACAATGTTTGTATTTACCTAGATTAATCTTATGCAGGTTGCCCTCTTATTTTCTTCAAAGAAAAACTTTTATCTATCTTTAATCTCCCTAAACTAGTAATGTTTCAAACTCTTTTGTCTTCCTCCTTGTAACCATGCACTAAGTTTCAAAAACTGCATGAATTTAAAGTATAGCTTTAATAATAAGCCATTATTTAAAAGTACAGTAAAATAAACCTTACAGTTTTAATGAAAATATGTTCATTGAAATGTGAATTTATTATTCAAATCCACTCATAAATTCAACCATGGAGACAGAACTTGTCTAAGCAGAGCACAATGATTTAGAAAAGCTGTCTATTTAAAATAAAGAATGTATGGCAGGTTTATAGAAACAGTGCAGTGAATTTTTACATAAATTTAGAACAGTGGCTTATGCATTTTCCACAAAAAAAAAAAAGTTTAAAAAAAATTTCCACCCCAAATTAAACATTAAAATGTAACACTACATTTGACAGAGCACAGAAACTAAATCAGGTGCTGCCTTCATGAAAACCAAATCCCTAGGACATATTAACTTTGAAAAGTGTTCACTAATCTTGATCCCTGAAAGTAGAATCTTGGTGCCTGGGAGTTACACTTTTCGATATAAACCATCTGCCAATGAATAATTTTAAATCCCTAAAATTCTAAGAAAGTTTTTATTATTTCATTCCTCAAAGGCCAATTAATATGTCCTCGGAAATCCACAGAGCCACTTAATAGCTACCTTGGAAAACCAAACAATCAGGACTCAGAAGCAACTGGAAAGCTGTTAAGAGACAGGACTTCAGCAAAGGCATCGGAGGGGCAAGGCTTTTTGATAAAATGAAAAATGTGTCAAAAAACCTGCCCTGGAATCACTAAGCCTTAATCAGCTTCGGAAACGTTCAGGGTCAACACTGACTTATGGCACAAGTTGGGAGTGCCATCCAACAGGGTCACGTGAGCCAGGGGGGCGGGCCACCAAGCAAATGCAGCGCAGACTCCCTATCTGGACGGGACAACAGGCCATGCTGCCCTTCGTCTGTGCCTGACGGGCCCACGCGGGTCCACGGAGGGGTACATACCTGTGTGGGTGCGGATATGTGCCAGGAATGCCATCGAGTTGCTACTCCGACACAACTTCCCGCAGTACTTGCAAACGTTTCCCTGATTTTCTTCTCTCTCGCGGTTGATTTGCTCAGTGTCTTCCACTATGTACTTGTTCACCTCCCGGAGCAGTTCTTCATGCTGCCCTTTAATATGCAGAAATAAATTCTGTTCTGAATCAAAGGGCTCCGTACACTTGACACATTTAAAAGTCGCCCCTCCCTCTGGAAGCTCCTCTACACTGGCCTGCTCGTTTCTCATGTGGCCTGCACTGGCCAGATGCTGATGGAGGTTGCTCTCGGTGTAGAACGACTTTCCACACAGTAAACAATGGAAGTGTTTCTCTTTTGTAGGGTGTTTCATGGCTATGTGAACATTCAGTCCACTCAAACCATCTGCTAAGAAGCCACAATCATCACAACGAATTCGTGTGGATTCACCAAAGGAACCGCCTTCAGATTTCTTCTTTTTCACGCCTTGAGCACAGTCTTTAAAGGGCAACTCACTAATCCTCACACCTGTTGTGACCAGACCCTCTTCTGACGGATCTAACAATTCTCCATCTTCAGGGTTCTTGATCCTTATTATGGAAGAATCAAACCGGCCAAAACTGTACATGGCCTGTCCTTTGTCATCAATACTGATTATAGTCTCATAAATGTCATTACTTTCAACTGCGCTATCAGAAGCTGGGCCATCCTCTTCCAAAATAATTTTAGTTTCCTGTTGGGAATTCAACAGAATTTCCTTGTTCTCCAGAACAGGGTCTTCTTGAGTATCTTTCAAATCCTCTGAACTCTGCACACTCCCAACTTCGTTCTGACCACCGCTCTCCAGGTTCAGCTCCTGCCTTGTCCTTGTCATCACAGAAGGGATGGTGCCTTCGGCCAGATGCCCTTCCCCAAGACCTCCAGGACATCCAGGTTTGCTGGGGGCATTATCTATATTCTCCCCTGCCTGGCCAACATCGCTCTCACTGCGTGTGCTCCCATCCCCAGGCTCATCCAATGTGCTGTGGGCTCTCTCTACTGCCTCATAATCCAAAGCTGGGCTTCCTGAATTTTCATTCTGAAATCTGCTTGGGGAGCCACAATTAGAGGAAATATTAAGGGACACCATCTCCTCAGGTTTCAGAGCTTTATCCTTGGCCAGAGTCTGTTGGAAAGTTTCACAAAAGGAACGGTCTTCACTGAGATTAGATTCTTCTTCAGTCTCAATCTCCACGGAGGTGGGAGCACGGAGGACCTTAGACACATCTAAATTAGTGTCCTCATCCAAAACACAACAATCAGCAGTACTTTTAGATTTCAGAACCTCTTCAGATGGCTCGTCTGAAATTATCTGATATTCTTCAGAATTGTGTTGATGTTGCTCTTCGGGGATAATGATGTTTTTGGACACTTCTGTGTCAGAAGAGGTCAGGTAAGACTGCCTTTTCATCTTGTGTTTTTCTGTGGCTGCATGTCTAGTCATCTCTCGACGAGTCACAGCGTAGTAATCGCAGGCCATACAATAAAAAGCAAATTCTTTTGTATGTTTCCGTTTTACATGGAGTTCTAGAGAAGCAGAAGAGTGAGCATTAAACTCACAGTGTACACACTTGTTATCACTTGTACCCATCACGTCTCTCTGGGAGCACGCATCCGCCTGCTGGAGAGGGTCCTCTGGTTCTAGAGACATTTGTTCCTTTTTATCAGAAAGGTGACTGTGGACTTCCCCATCTGTAGAATGAAATACATTTTCAACTTCGACTTCAGCTGGATTTCCGTGCTCTGGCACTGGCTTTTCTGAAGTGGAGGTATCTGATTCAGCTGACCTGTGAGCAAGTTCATCTGAACCTGCTGAAATGGCATTCTTTCTACAGGCTTCAAGGTTACCCCCTTCGGGGCCAACAACGATATCTGAATTCTGCTTGCCATTTGCTTCTATTTCTACACGTCCTTTATGTTTCTTAGTGGCACAATGGCGCTCCATATCTCCCTTAGTTACGGTATAATACTTACACACTTTGCATAAATAACTATACTGGTGACTGTGTTTTCGTCGAATATGAACGGTCAGGTTTGTAATACTAGAGGCCAAGAGACCACAGTGAGAGCATGTCCGCGAGATGTTACCTTTGGGTCTCCCTCTCTTTGGAGTAGTAGTCAAAGCTACCTCACCCTCTTTGGTCGTTACACCAGACTGTGGCACTTCCTTGGTAGTCAGTAGGCTCTTTTCCAGATAGGAATGTTCCTGCAACCGCACACCTTCTACATGGCCTTCAATCCTTCCATTTCCAGAAATGTGAAACTCTTCTTTTTTGTCATTTGCACCTATACACACCCTTTCAATACATTCTTCAAAACTTAAGCCAATGTTGTTTTTCTTGGCATTTTCCAGATGCTTGCTTCTCTTGATGTGCTTCTCCATTCCCTCCTTGCTGAGCGAGTAAAGATTGCACGCTTTACAAAGAAAGTGATAGTCCTGGCCATGCCGGAGCTTGATGTGTCTTGTGAGAACAGTGGAAGACCGCGTTTTATAAAAACACTTCTTACACTGAAACTGAGGCTTACTGGAGTGCCTCACTTCGTGCCCATGGCTTGCCCTGGACTTAGAAGGTTCTTCCTGAGCTACAGACTCATTCATAGGACCTTTTGTATCTTCTGATTCTAAAGTACTTAAGGATAAAGTCTGTAAAACCAAATCACTGTTAAATGACTGGGAAGTCTTTGGTTGAACCAACAAACGAATATGCTTCTCGGTTTTTTTGTGTTCTTCCACGTCTTTCTCAGACAAGAAGAGACTGCAAGGAGTGCAAAAACAACCCATATTGTGCTTTTCCTTCATGTGGTCTCTAAGATTTAGTTCATTCTCAGAAATAAACGAACAGCACTGACACCTGAGGCCAGCGGCAGTGTGCTGATGCTGGCGGTTGTGCAAATACCTATCAGGGTCCCCCCTCGACGTACTGGAAAAACCGCATGCCTGGCAGCAAAGCCTCGCCTCTTCCGCAGGGCCCCTCTCCCCGTGGCTCCCCACGCCTGTCCTATTTGGCGCTCCGTGACCACAGTCTGTACGAGCACATATCTGGTGATCAGCAGCCGGCCTCCCCGTCGCAAAGCCGCCGGAGCACACGACAGGGGAGCTCCCTTTGTCCCGCATCAGGCCCAGGGTTTCCGAGGAAGTCACACGCAGACTACGCACACCGCCACCTGCTTCTCCGTGTTTGGCCATACACTCTGTCTCACTTGCCTTCACCTGCGTTCTAAAGTGTTTCATATACAACCTCTGGGGGTCATTAGTTGCTCTTTTACTCATTCCTAAAAGATTAAGCCTTTTCTTGGCCTGGCCTTTTAAGGTAAACGTGCCAGTTCGTCGTCGGAAGCCACCGCCCAACAGGAAGACGCTGCGCTCGGGTCTTGATCTCGGGCTGGCACAGACGCCGTGCGCTGCCTGGAGGGTATTTCTGGTAGATTCCAACTTGTTAAAGAGACCCTCTGAGCTTACCAACGCTCCTATCTTTTTGCTTTTACTCTGGTTTTCAGGGTTTCGAGCTATCCCCACGGAAGTTACGTTTTCTTCAACCATCTCTACTCTTTCGGACGAAGTGCTCCGGGACGGCATCATTTCAACGAGCAGCTCGCTGCCTCCACTCTGCTTGGACACGCCTCCTCGGAAGTTGTGGACGTTGCTTCCAGCACTCCGTGCGCCTCTGGGATCACTCGTCCTTGCCGTGGGTTTAGTAGGTCTGGGTTTTACGCGAACATTTTTTGTTCCCAGGGTACACGGTTTCTTGGGAAAGGGCTGTTTTGTTAGGATCTGCACAAATCCTCCGCGAGCAGCGAGATTCTGACGCCGGAGGTGCGTCTTGCCGAGGTAGTGCGCGTTCAGCAGGTTCTCTTGCGCGCACTGGAAGCCGCACAGCTCGCAGGAGAAGACCGGCTGCGGCCCGGGCGTGGGGCCCGCGTGCACGCGCAGCGCGGCGCCCCTCTCCGCCTCGTGGCCGCAGCGGCAGCACGCGGGGCCGGCCACCTGCTGCGTGGGGCCCTCGGCGCGCTGCTCCACGTCGGAGCAAGAAGAGAGCAGATGACCGCAAACGCTGCACTTGAGAACCGGCTCGACGTGTCCGGCGGCACAACCAACACTGGTCTCTGTCCGGGGGACAGGAGAGCCTCTTTCCACGTCGAGGGAGACCACGTCCTGAGCAGACTCGTCTTCAGGGTCTGTCTTCGGAGACACCGCATCACCAGGGCTAAAACCGCAAGGAGCGGAGAAGGCCCTGGGAGGACAAGGGCGGCCGGCCGGGCCCTCACTGAGGAGCGCCTCCTTCGCGGTGTCGCCTAGCGGGGCAGGCACTTCAGGGGCGGGGCGCTCCGAAGTGTCTCGGCCCAGAGCGCGCGGCTCGACGGGCTCAGGGGGCCCCGCGCCGGCAGAGAGCCGCAGCCGCTTGCACGCGCGCTGGTTTCCGTCCGCCGCCGCGGGGACGGGGACGCGCGGGAAGCCTCTCTTGCTGGTGGGAGGCTCTGAGGCACGTGCTGTCCCGTCACACACGGGCCCGCCGTCTACAGGGCACGGTGAGGAACTTGTCGCGTCCGCTCCTCTGCTCCTGTTTTCATCGTCCTCGCTCTCCGGCTTCTTCTCCGCATCCATGGCCGCCGACGTGCTGAGGGCCGCGGCCTGGCGCGGCTCACCGGGCGCTCGCCACCTGCGCAGAAAACAGACAGCTGGTCAGGCCGCGCACGGGACACACAGCCTCGTCCGGAGGCCAGCACGGGGTGACGCGCCGAGCGAGGGCCTGTCACCACCTCGAGCTTTCCTGCACACCAAGAACTGCACGCGGCCGCTGAGGGCCGCACGGAAAGGCCTTCGTCAGACCCGGGAGCGGCGCCCGCGCCGGAGCTCGGCGAGTCTGCGCCGGAAGAGGCCTCGCTGGCCCGAGCCCCTCTCCCCGCCCGCGCACGGCCGCCGCTGGGGATTCCCACGGGGAAGCCGAACCCCCGTCCGTGAAGCAAACGAACAACCCGCTGTGACACACGCCTGGACGCGGGCCCCCTCCGCAGTCTGCAGCCCGAGTCCCGGACCCCCGCAACGCAGGAGCACGGCGTCCTCCCTTCCCTGCAGCGACGCGCCTCGCCCTGATTTTCTAAACACGTCCTCGTCCTCGTTCCCCCCCCGCCGCCGCGCGCTCTCTCGCGCCAACGGAGACCTCCTCGCTTCCCACCTCCAGTCCCGGTTTCCTCGTCCTACAGCCATGCTGCGCTCGCGGAAGGTTCGGCACAAGCGGAAACGTCCGCAGGAGAGCAGGATTAACGAAGCAAATGTGGGGGGAGAGAAGAATTTCACTGAATAAAATGCTTTAAAATCAATAATATTGATTTTATTTTTCCTTATGCCATTTAATTCAATTAAAACATCATTTTCCATTTACTTTACACCAGGACTGGAATTTTTAGCCAAATGCCACTGGATTTCGTGTGAATAAAAAACCATCAAATATTATGGCCTCAAAACTAATGATAACTATTTTATCTATTTAACTACTTTTTTCATAACAACAAACCCAATAATGGCTGTTGCTCTGATACTGCTTAAAGCAGAGAACAAAATATATTTATGTGATACTAAATGCATAAGCAACAGAAGAAAAGGAATAAACTGGGCTTTAGCAAAATTAAAAATTTCAAATGACTGTGTGCTTCAACGGCCACAATCAAGAAAGGGAAAAAACAATCCACAAAGCAGGAAAAGCATTTTGCGATCATCTACCCAACACGGGGCTTAAACACAGAGAACTCTTACCACGCAATGATAAAAAGATGAACCAATTTCTAAATGAGCAAAGGGGCTCACTATGCATTTCTCCAAAGAAGATATACAAACAGCCAAAAAGCACATGAAACATACTCTATCAGTACTCATTAGAGAAATGCAAATCAAAACCATAATGCAATACCATTTCATACTCATTAGGACGGCTAGAATCAACACATCAGACAGTAAGTAACAAGTGTTGGTGAGGATGTGGAGACATCAGACCAATCACTCAAAGGCTTGTAGGGGATATAAAACGGTGACGCCACTTTGGAAAAGAGTCTGGCGGTTCCTCAAATGACTAAGCATGGAGCCACCATATGGCCCATCAGTTCCGCTCCAGGTATACGGCCAAGAGAAGTGAAAATATATATCCTCGTGAAAACTTGTACACAAATGTTTACAGCAGTATTAGTCTTAATAGCCAGGGGGTGGAAACAGCCCAAATGTTTATCAATGGATTAACAGAAAAACTGAATGAGGTACATCCATACCCACACGACGGAATATTCGGCCACATGAAGGAATGGTATTGACATATGCCACGGTATGTGTGAACCTTGGAAATGCTAAATGAAAGAAGCCAGCTACAGAAGACCCCACAGCATAGGATTGTTTTCACTGGAAATGTCCAACATAGGTATATCTACAGCTATAGAAAGCAGGCCAGTGGTTCCTTAGGGCTGGGGGAGGAGGGCAAGACAGGGGGTGAAAGCTACAGATCATAGGGTTTCTTTCTGAGGTGATAAACATGTTCTAAAATTTCCTGTGGTGATGGTTGCACACGTCCATGAACATACTTAAATCCATTAAACTGTAGTTCAAATGGTATCTCAATAAAGCTGCTTAAAAATACACAAATTGTTGTATATAACCTACAACACAAAAGCATCTTCTATTTGTTAACTGTCTTACAAGAACAGAGTGTACCATTCTTGTAAAAGAGTAAAAAAGATAAATGTACATAGTTTTATTACACTTACAAGATGTTTACCATTTCTCAAGATGTGATCCAGAAAATATAAATTAAGTAAGAAGTTAATAGATGTTTAGGCAGGAAAGATAAACCTCTGGTCAAATACATTTAGGCAACTCTGGTTTGAACCAAAGTTTCTTTACCATAGGATGTTTCAGCACATAAGCATTTCCCAAACCAATTTCATTACAGAACTCATTATTTATAAAGAATCAAGAGACCAGTGGTTCCAAAGGACCCTTTAGAAAATGCTCCTTTAAATAAAGCATTAGGTCTGCTATTCAACATTCGTAACTAAAGCGTAAACGGGGTGGGGGGGGATGAATCATGCATCTGTCCCCAAAACGTCATGAAGTCCCTACCATAAGCCAAGTATTCTTGGTTGTAGATACTGGAATTACGGCAAAGAACACCACAAAATCTCTGCCTTACATTATAAATGGTTGGACAATTTTTTTTAGTAGAAACATTGCCCAGTCCAGAAACGTCTATTTCTAGTCAAGAAGAGTCAAGGAACTGTATTTACTCTTGCACATGAAACAACTAAAAAAGAAAAAAAAAACTGGCAAAATCTATGAAAGAACAGCTTAACACTTCGGACAGCAGAAACTGCAGGATGGTGATCAGAGACGAGCTACAAAAGAAAAGGAGTCCCAGTTTATAGCCCGGAGAAAAGGACCCAGGCCACAGCACAGCAACAGGGATCCCAGACAGAGCCCAGGGGTCTTCCAATAGAGTTGAGGGGCAGCTAGAATCTGTTGGGCAGAGTCAGAAAGAGGAGAAACACCAGAAAGAGAAGCCCAGAGACCTACACGGGTCCCTCAAGGGTGTCCCTATCAAGATAGAGATCATGCCACCTTCCCAAAAAATTGTCTCCTGCCCCTCACACTCACTCCTGGTAACTCCCCCTCTCTCCCTGAGGCAACCACTGCCCAGTCTTCTGCAATGAATTAGTCTCACCTGTTCCAAAAGTTCACAGAAACGGAATCAGAAAATAGGCCTTTTGCGGGGAGAGGATCTGCCTTCTTTTGCTCAACACAGTGTCTCTTGCATATATGAAGAGTACGCACATCCCAACCCCAGTGAGAGCAGTGTCCCGTTGTACAGGTACACCACAATTCCGTGGACGGACCCTTCTTTGGCTCTTAGGACAAAGCTGCCATGAATATTCTCAGACAAGTGTTTTTATGAACATATATGTTCATTCCTTTTGTGTAAATACCTCGGGGTAGTAAGGCTGAACTACAGGGACAAATGTGTATGCTAATCCTCTGAGAAACTGACTAAGCTTCTTACACAGCGACCAGCAATGTCAAGCATTTTGACTGATGCACACATTTTCACCAATATTTGATGCTGCCAGTCTTTTCAATTAAAGTCATCCTGGTCGTGTGTATGGCTCTCATCTGCACTTCGCTGATGACTGCTGATGGTGCTGAATACTTTGCTGTGTGCTTTATGAGATGTTCGCTAGCCTTCTGCCCACTTCTTACACAGGTTGTCTCTTTTGTTACCGAACCAGGAGTTGCTTATATGTTCTGAATATAAATCACTTGTCAGACACAGGTTTCACAAATATTTTCTCTCTTTTCATTTTGTTAATGTATTTTGATAAGCAAAAGTTTTAAATGTTGATGCAATCAGTGTTTTTCCTATTGTGGTTATTTGTATGCCTGGTGTATTTCCTGTCTCCCCATGCCAGAAGGTAAGGGCATGGTTTCTTTTATCCACCCTTACATCCAAAGAGCCTAGAACAATTCCAAGCACATATAAGGTACTAGAATAAATACCTCACTGTGATGTAATAAATGTCTCTCCTCCAAGTATTTTTTTTTTAAGACTTTATTTATTTATCTGACAGAGAGAGATCACAAGTAGGCAGAGGCAGGCGGGGGGTTGGTGGGGTGGGGAGCAGGCTCCCTGCTGAGCAGAGAGCCCGATGGGGCTCGATCCCAGGACCCTGGGATCATGACCTGAGCCGAAGGCAGAGGCTTTAACCCACTGAGCCACCCAGGCACCCCATCTTCTCCAAGTATTTATAGGTAAAATGAAAAATGTCTGAGACATACTTCAAAGCAGTCCAGCAGAGGGGCACAGTGAAGGCTATGTGCTGATAATGATTAATGCTGATGGACAGTTACATGGAAATTCAATATACTATCCTACCAACTTGTGTATATATCTGTATATGTACATGTTTGAAAATGTCCCTAACATAACCTATGTTTAACATTTTTTAGTGTTTTATCTAAAATGGTGTGAGTTCTCTTCCTTTCAATGAGGAGTCCAACCACCTCTTTCCCTTCTGACACGGCTCGGACACATGACCATACCACCTTCACTGTGGACACTAGCAGGAGCTTCACCTATGAAGTGTGCGTATAGAACAAACACTGACCTATAGAAGTGTACGTATAGAACAAACACTGACTTAGGGGACTCACACACGTACACCTCTGCAGTGTGAATGTTCTAATGATGGAACAACACACGACTCCATTTTTTCAGACAGAAGAGTGACAGCTGCATTAATACACACATACAGAATAATGAAACCCTTCATTATCTTCTATATAATGTCTCCAAAAATTTTAAAACAAAAGGAGAAAATATTTCTACACTTGTTATCGCCCAACTGATTTTTTAAAGTGATGAAATAATTCAACATCTCATTTTACCGAGAAAGAATACTGAACACTCAACACACACACACTGAGGGCCAACCGCATGAGGGGCACTAACGTGCTGCCCATGCGTTCTTTGCCCTCACCAGGCTCTTGTTCTATCAGGAGCCATGTGACATCCATGCAAAAGTACTGTAATACAAGGCCAGGTGTGCATGTGTGTGACAGGAACTAGGATCTACAGCTGTGTAAATGAGCAAGAAATCATACTTCCAAGCAGAATATTCGGCCAAA